CCTTAAAGGTTTCAGGATTCTGTTCTGTGGAGTTTTGAATCCAAACTGGAAATCTGGGTGAATATCAGCCACATCGGTTGGAAGAAGAATAAAGCAGAAGCTAAAAGGATGGTCAGTATGGCTCTGGAGCTGCTGGAAACGGGCATCATATGGAGGAAAGATGCCCTCTGTCAAGCATCTAAAAAAATCCTGTCATAGAGTATTGCGCCATCTTTAAGGAAACCAAACCTGGAAGGTTTCTAGAGCTGCCGTTTAACTCATTTAGACTAAATAAAGGCGGCTGCAGCACAAACCAAACGTTAATGAAAGATGAAGCTTTTTCCCATGAGGAGGCGGCTGGTATTTCTTCACCAGAAGCTGAATCACTTGTGAGAGACTGTAGGAGCACTTACACTATTTCAATTTACTTTTCATTTCATAAAATAAACTAAAACAGCTAAAGAAAACAGCTTGCAAACAGAAACTGATCAACCTGAACCTCCTAAGCAATGATAATATCCATTCTTAAATTAGTCTAGTTCGCCCCCTAGAGGTTTGAAGGTTGAATAGCAGCGGGATAATGTTATTGAATCGAACGTTTTCCAGTTGTGTTTATAAATATATAAAAAAACCACATTAAAACCAAAGAGTCAAAGTGCGATATCTTTATTTGATATATACTGTGAAGTGTTCAAATGGCACAAAATGGCAGCAGGATGATATATATGGCATAAGGCTTCTTTTAACCGACTTGTTTCAGTCTCAGTTTCTTTCATTTGCAAATGATCAATGAAGGCATTAAAGTTTAACGAACCAGTCCAACTCAAGTCTGCTTTTCAACCCATGAAAAAAAATTAAATAAATCCCAACTAGTTAAAGAATGTGAGCCAACAACTCCACTACAGACCCCTGAGATTCCCAAACCGGCATGCTGTGAAGAACCGATGAAATAAAAACAAGAAAGTGCTACAAAATTCCTTAACAATAAAGATGAAAAGCTAAAAAGAAATTGAACAGACTGTAAATCGGCTGTTCTGGTATGGGAAGATCCTCTCCTCTTTGGAACCGGCTTCATATTTCTATTAAAACAGAATCTAGATAACCTATATGTGACTTTCATCCACTGATACTTTAACAGTTAAAATCATATAGAAACAATAAAGCAACACAAGTTCAGAGGCAATCCCTCCTGTGTTTGATCTGCAGCCTGTGCTTTTATGACACTAAAGCAGATTGATGGTGATTGTTCAACAGACGTGTAAACATCAGTCCTCTCATCAAACTCTGCACACATCAGGATTCCAGATGTTTTGTAAACTCTGAAGGAACCACCGACTGTCTCCTCTCTCCACCAACGATGATGTTCCATCTTTGGCTTTTTTAATCTAACCTTCAGGATCAGAGTCTGACTCTCGCACACGGAAGAAGCGTCACCTGTAATCCACACAGGTTCATCCATTCTGTGAGGGCGTGTCCCCAAAAAAATAAAACCAAAATAAAAACTTAAGCCCACTGAACTTGAGCTCCGGTCTTGGAGTGTCTTTTAGCCTCCTTGATAGAGAGAGCTTCCTCCTTCTCGCTCATTTCTTTCAGCCTTTTCTCTTCCAAAAATGTCACCAGGGAGTTCTTCATTGCCACCACCTCCAGTATCTCCTCCATGAGTCGCTCTTCTTCTGCCTTCTGCTCTGGAGTCTTATCTGTTGGAGAAAAAATTATAACAGCGTCAAACATTTAGTTTCCTGCACTGAAAGAACATCAATGGATGAAGGCAGCGTCGCCCTTTAACCCTTTATAAGGCAAGTTACCTTTTTTTTTTATCACATGCATACCCCTTAAAAATAGAGCGTCCCTCAATGAGGTCTAGAAGCACAAGATCTATATCCAGCCATTCAGCAAAGATACAGCTACATGGCTGTACATCTTATTTTGGTATTTAATCAGTGGTGGTTGGCCAATAGAGGGCGCTATATTTTTATATGCTATATGTTGATATATATATACACACACACATATATATATATATTTAAATATATATTTATTAGGGATGGAACGGTTTTTGAAAACCGTCCGATCCGTTCGGTTCTAGGGGTGTGCAAAATAATCGTCATGATGATGCATCGTGATTCTAATTTTCGTGATCTACTGCATTGATTCTTGAAGCCAAGTATCGATTATTAATCTAAAAAAATTATAAATAAAATTGCATGAATGGTTGGCGAACATCAGCCAAAAAACAAGTGTAATACAACTTCCAGTCCAGTAGATGTCGCTGCGGATGTGTTGACGCACGCTGCCTTGTGTCACAAACGGGATACTGCGCCGACTCATTCAAAAACAAAACATGGAGGAGAAAATATTGCAATGCATCGCAATAATTCAAATATCATGATGCATCGTGATAGAATCGCATCGTGACTTCTTTGGCAATACCCACCCCTATTCGGTTCATGCGCTGCTCCTTTTGCTCATAGGC